CTAGATGCTAAAAAAAAAAGTTATACTCACTAGACCGTCTGAGGTGGCTCTGAGGTGGCTCCCTGCTTCTGTGATCGGTGAAGTGCGTCTACTGCTCCGCTGCAAAGATGGATTGCTCCTGGTGTCCTCACGCCAATACACAGTCTATGCACAGTGCATTGAGCTTAATGGCACCAGGATCCTTAGACCGCTGCAGCAGAGGGGGAGAAACACTTGAGACACCGGTCTAAGAACAAGCCTACTCACATAGCGAGTATAATGTTTCTTTAAGCACCTAGACACTAATGAACACTTAACCCTTGCAGTGAGGGGGTCGCCCCACTGAAAGGGTTAACACGTTTGTTTCCTGGAGTTCTTTAATATGGGCTGAGCATAGAGACAAAAATCTAAATTTCACTTTGCAGAATGTAGATTAATGTTGGCGCAGTCAACCTGTTTTGCAAACATCAAGACAGATTTGGGGCAATTGACTATTTTTTATTCTTCTCATGCTTATTTGAGTATGTTAAATGAATAGTGGTGTACTAAGCCAGTGAAAAGTGCTCCATTAATAAAGTATCCTTAAATATAAAATTGATTGCTCTGGAAGAAAACATTGGTCCTGTGTGAAAAACAAAAACCTTATAGTAAATATGTGCTCAGAATTTAGGAAAGCAGTCATTTATTTACTAAAAGTAACAGAATAATTAGAACATTCTTTATCAGGATTTAAAAATATTTATATTAATTCACAAATATTAGCTCTATGAATACAGTTTTTTTTCTATGAACTATGCTTACATTGAAGACCATATTTGAGAGAACAATACTCCAAAATTAATCATACCTTGAGGAAGTGATTTTTCTTTGTGGAACATAAATTAAAAGTGGAAAAAAAAGTTAAAGCTTTAAGGATAATTTTTATGAAAAAGTAAAGTGCAAAACATGTTGGAAAATACCAAATAATGTTTTAGGTTTGTTTATAAAACAGATTTTTTTACATCAATTTCTTAAAACCTTTATTCTAAATTAAACTTTTTTTTTATCCAATGAAACGGTGGAAAATATGTTTTCCTGCTTCACATGAAACTTATACAGACAAGGAGGTGATTTACTAATAGCTTAGTAGATCAGTCAACCTGTATTTGCTTGCAACAGCAAAACAAGGAGAAAAAGCTGCTGGTCATGGAAATAAGATGGCTATCCCCCAATCTGACTCATTCAGGGCTGGTGATACCATTAGGCACAGTAGGCACACAGTAGGTTCATGGACTTTGTTTCCATCACCAGTGGGAAAATTAATTTCATATAATGCCATTAACACATTAACACAATATCCTAAACCAGGTTAGGAACAAGAAAATGTTCTATGTAGAAGAAGTAATCC